CGATGTGAACAGAGTCTTTTGAACAAAACAGACGGATCAGCAAGCTTTATGCAAGGTAATATTTCGTATTTGTTTATCCCGACGTTATCAAAGTTAATTGAACTAATCATAGGCTGGCATATATATTGTTTACACGCGTTCTTCGCATGGCATCACCATGGGTTGCTAAATATCACTGTTTCAGGAAATACTCAAGTGATTGCGGCAGCATATGGTCCCGCAGAGGTCAGAGCAAGCAAAGAACTCATAGATAAAGCTACCTTGGAAGTTGTTTTCAGACCCAAAGTTGGTATGCCAGGTGAGCAGTTATGACTAAAATATGTTATGTTATGAATTTTCCACGTTATTATAGTTATGACTAAAAATTTACTGAACAATGTTAACCTGACTACTGAGGCCAATTGTTGCTGTAATCTTTGTAGAGATTAGTTTATATTCTTAAATTTTTACAGTCTAGTTTTTAAATTTTATAGTCTAGTTTTTCAATTTTCAATTTTATAGTCTAGTTTTTATGGAATAGATAATATATTTTAAATTTTACATTTCAATTTTAGCATACACGTTCACATTTAAACGAGCCCCAGGCTCACTGGTGAAATGTGTTTAAATAAAGTATTTACTTACTTAGTTACTTACTTACACTGTTTATGGTCTTTATGGTTGTATCTCGAAAACAAAGAACTATCCCTGCCAACTCTCGTGCCTGCGCTGTTGAAAACACCAGTATCGTACTTACTCACACCTACAGACTAACTTCTTACACCTAGCTGAAAAAAAAAAAAAATTGAGCTACTACAGTCTAAACTGACACACTTTCAAAAAGTATATAGCTAGTCAAACCAGTCCAAGAAAAGACTGTGTAAATGATGGGACACTTTTTACTTACCTCACCCAATTCCCAGATTTTTGAGGGAAAACATTTTGAAAAATGCTGGTTCGATTGTGAAGGTGTTTTGTTTGGTGAAACAAAACTGCAACTGACACCAGGAAATATCTTCCAAAATATGGC